CCCCAAAACCCCAAAACCCCAAAACCCCAAAACCCCAAAACCCCATGTGGATTAAAAAACTTCAAGCTTATTCTATATGTAAATTAAAGATAAAGACTTAAAAATTATTTGTTTGTTACTACTAAGTTAGTGTGCATATAGTTGTATACTGTTATTGAGCATTACTGGGATATTCAGTAAATTTGAGTCTTGCCATGATAGAACTTCTGTCTCTACGAGGCTGCAAATGGAGTGGTCTTTCTGTGTTCTAGCTTGTCATTCACATCTTTTTTGTAGCTCTCATACTCCTTTCCTGGCTAGAAATCACTCTTGTATTTATTATTATTCATGTTCTAATAATAGCTGCTCAAGTAATACTCGTTTCTTAGACGGAATTTGGGATCAGACATCACCATATTGTCCCTTCTGTCCTTTCCTAGATCCTCAGCCATAGTGCTTGTGCCTACATCATTTGGTCCTGGAATGTTTGAGATTTGGGAAGTGAAGTATCTTAATCTCGCGTTGACTTTTCCATTAATTTTACTATTAACGTCAGCTTTTTATTTAATCGTATTTTTCTGAGCATCACCTTAGAGCACCTTGTTTTACTTGCTCTTGTCTACAAGTAGTTGATTTTTAGAATCATTATATTTCTTTTAAACAATATCAGGAGAGAACTAGTTGGTCACATTGCTTTCATCAATGCCCATTTGAATCTATGAATAGGTGAATCTAGCCTGGCTTTTTTATGTTAAGGCTTATCTAGACTTGAAATTATCTCCTCTTGAGGCTGACATATCGCTGTGGTTGCTAGTTGTTTCCAAATCTTCCTTAATTGCTCTCACTCTCTATGCGCCAAAGGCAGGTGAAGTGTCTCTGTTTTAATAATACTCCTGGGTGCTCTTCTTACCCCAGATACCGTAATCATTATCATTATTTCCAGCACCTTTGCTTACTGACCTTGTTGTAGATCTATTGCCTCCAAAAGCAGGAGCAGACTTGCCAAATCCTCCGCTGCCTGGCTGACCGATTGCAGCTAGTCCTACTGGAGCTGATCTGTCTCTTGCTCTCTCGTTAGGTGAGTAGTTACCATCCCATTTATTGACTCTCTGCATGCTTACCATTGATTGCCAAAAAGTACTAGTTGAGTTAGGTCTGTGGAATATATCTTGAGAAGCACTCCTAACATTTCTGCCTAGAGCAGAGTTTCTTGTAACACTAAATGATTCTCTTCTGCCTAATATTTTTAGGAAGTATGAAATTACTGTTATCTTGGAGTTTTGACCTAGATTCATTGATATTGCTTCTATTTCTGCCTAAAATTCAATAAATTCTGACTTAATGTACCTGGAGTTTCTGACTGCTGTGTGGAATTTGTAAATCTTTTATAGCTTGTTTCTTTTTATTAAAGCCCTTAACTCTCTAGGATTAATATAATAAGCAAAGTATAAAGTGTACTTGATGTGGCAGGTGTAGTTGCCTTAGAGGAAAGATTGACAGACCTTTGGTTGTTTGCATTTTATGTCTGTTTGAGGGGAGCCTATCTCTATTTTTAAGACTTATCCATATTAACTAAGATGTGCTTTTATTTCAAATATAATTAACTTTGCAAATTATTACTAATATAATAAATTTCTTAGCTTATTTCCATTTCAGTCGTAACTTTCATAAACTCATTTATTCCCACGGGGTTTTGGGGTTTTGGGGTTTTGGGGTTTTGGGG